ACGGTACAGATTGTTCTGGAACCTACGCCACCGCCAGCGATAACGCTAGAACATTCGACGGCAAGAGTATAAATGCCGACGCGCTTCGCCGCTTGTGAGTTGTTGATCGAAGGCCGACGCTCCGTTCGCCACTATCGAGACTGCTATCTGTGCGAGACTGCTGCTGTAATTGGGCTTTCCGTTCACCAGGCTCAGGTTCGCCCAAATAAACAGTTAAATCCCAACACGAAGTCTCCTGTCTTCGGCCACGTCACGACCCCGTGACATCTGGTGGAGGTGCTGGGTACACGGCTTGACGGGGCGTCCGGTACATGAACGAAGCAGAGCGGCTTAACAAGACGATCGCCGACATGCTGTCAATGTACGTCGAAGTCCAACACAAGACTTGGGACGTCATTCTTCCGTATGTGACCTTCGCATACAACATGGCGGTGCAGGAGACGACGCAGATATCTCCATACAAATTGGTCTACGGAAGGAGCCCGGCAACGACGCTCGATGCCATGTTACCCAACGTCACCGACGAAGAAAACCTCGATGTGAGCGAGTACCTTCAACGCGCCGAAGAAGCCCGACAACTTGCGCGTCTCCGTATCAAGAATCAACAGACGACCGACAGCCACCGTTACAACCTTCGACGACGCTTCGTGGAATACCAGCCCGGTGAACGTGTTTGGGTGTGGACGCCGATACGCCGACGTGGACTAAGTGAAAAGCTTCTGCGACGGTACTTCGGACCGTACAGGGTGGTTCGACGTCTCGGCCCACTTGATTACGAGGTTGTCCCCGACGGCATCACGAACACTCAACGACGCCGATCGCGACCTGAAGTCGTCCATGTCGCGCGCCTCAAGCCGTTTCATGCGCGTTAACAAACTGAACCAGTGTTTTTTTGTATTATTGTTGTATCGGAATTTATTCATTGTACTTTCTTGCATTATTATTGTACCATCATCTTTAGTTAAAGCATCGGGACGATGCCTTTTTTTCAGAGGGGGGCAATGCCACGTTCCATTTCCCAAGTTTTTGTTACCGTCCCAAAACACCACACGATTCTCAGCGCAAACCGCGCCTGCAGTTTTCGAGAAGGTTCCGGACTGTAGTAGATTATTTCGATAAGATCACGCCCACTGCGCGAACGGTACAGATTGTTCTGGAACCTACGCCACCGCCAGCGATAACGCTAGAACATTCGACGGCAAGGGTATAAATGCTGACGCGCTTCGCCGCTTGTGAGTTGTTGATCGAAGGCCGACGCTCCGTTCGCCACTATCAGTCTGAGACTGCTATCTGTGCGAGACTGCTGCTGTAATTAGACTTTCCGTTTACCAGGCACAGGTTCACCCAAATAAACAGTTAAATCCCAACACGAAGTCTCATGTCTTCGGCCACGTCACGACCCCGTGACAATATGATAGGAAAAGTAACTACATGGACAGAATATAACCACCTCAAGCTTCCATGGCAACCCCGCTGGAGTCAGTCCAGAAAGCTCGAAGTTTTAATTACTAAATTTCGATGTTGTGTCCCCCCAATAAACCTGTATCTACACAGAGCTGGTCAGACAACATCACCCCTCTGTGCATTCTGCGGAGAAATGGAATCACCAGAACATTATATTTTGTATTGTCGGCACTGCGCTATACTTCGAAAAATGTTACTAGTTATTTCATTTCTGAAAACAGGCGTTAGATTAACGGCGGAAACGGCGCTAAGCTTTGGTGCCTCAGTTTTGGGACATTGCCACAGGGATGCTTTCAATGCCGTTTGCGATTATATTCAGGCAACCAAGCGTATACCTTTGTGATCTTCAATCAAAAAATTATTTATTACTCCCCAGGGCAAAGTGAAGTCAATGCAGCTGAGTGGTAATTATAACACCTCAAATCTCAAAATTGCTCAACTTGACTTTTCTAATTTTTTTCTTTCTTATTTGCTCTTTTTTTGTTTTCCTTACATTAGTCTTATTATAATACAAATTCGCGATGCTTAGGCGGAACGAGTTGGTGAAGAGCCTGTTTGACTGTCGTATATGGAGTGTCACCAGGCGGGCCCACGAGGATGTCGCGTATTTCGGCCATTGCCTGTGGCGGCAACGCTTCAACGAGGAGATGCTTGCAAACTTCTGACGTGATGCGATGAATGCGGAACTTGTTCTCGACTTGAATGAACCATAAGGAGGGATCGGCAAGCCACAGCTGTGGTAGCATCATGGTAGTAGTACCTCCCGAGGAGGGTACATGGCCGGGTGCAGTGGCAGCGGTACCAGGGCTGAGGCTGTCGAGATGCTCACGCTGCTCCATGGAAGGTCGCGTTCGTAGTCCGGGTCACCAATAAATATAGCACTCTGAAACGCGGTTCCGAAAACACAGCGTGGTTTATTAATGCATCTCCGCCATTGTTCCAACTACTACTTCTCTCTCCTCAGCAGACTATCCACTACTACCTTATGTCCCAAGTGTGTCGTGCCAGAAGAAGAAGAAAAGTATGCCACAGGACTACATGGATGGCAATTTAAAATAAATAGAATTTCATTAGTTAATAAAAAGGAAAAAAAAAGGAAATTTACCAGCAATAGACCGTCCAGCAGGCCCACGAAGCGGCCGCCAGGTACTCGAGTCCTGCAGGACGCGCTTAACGCGTAGCCGGCGTCTCCCACGTAGGGACCCACAGGGATCTGCAGGACGCGCTTAGACAGGGATCCTGTCGATCCCTACGTGGGAGAAGCCATACGCGCGTCCTGCAGGACTGAAATAAAGTTTTTTTTTTCATTCCATTCTACTCCAACAAGCAAACCTTTGTCTGAGAAATTCACAAACTGATACGCAGACCCTCCTGTTGCTGTGGCCCAGAAAAGAAGCCCTAAGGGAAACAATATTTTCAGAATTTAGGATAATTATAATATTCAATTTTCTGAATATAGTTTCTAAATATTTCTTCTTGTGGCTTGTGAAACGTCGGCAAATCTGAAGCTGATGCGGGCCGCTCCGCCGTCGGGATTAAGAGGCCGAGCCCCCCTCTGCCACCCACGAGGAGGTCGTGCTGCCACCCCGCAGGCTCAACGGAAGCATTTCACTTTCTCTATCTTTGTAACATCTGTAACATCTCTTTTATATCATCTTTCATTCTCCTTAACCCCTTCACACAGGGTAGCTGCAGCCAGTCTAAGAACTGGCTAACCTAGCTTACTGTCGTAAGGTCCCTAGATAAAAACTTGTTTGATCTAGGGGCCTTACCCTGTCCTTCCGCTTTTCTTTCCTCCTTTTCACTCATAGGCGTATCAGACGGGGGGGGGGGGTAAGGGGGGCGCATGCTTTTCACTGAGAAAGGTTGGGGCAACGTTTATAGATACTTTCTATAAATGTTAGTTGAAAAAACTGAGCCCCCCCCCCCCCCCCCACTTTCGACAATGGTTACTCGATCTTGGCTGCACGGTGGGGAAACCAAAAAGTAAGGTGAAGTTTTCCGTCACAACAGTAATAACTCAATGAAGGTGGCGATTTGGGCTTGTTGGTATGGTAGCATGATTACATGGTAGCGCAGACAAAGGACATGGGCAAGAGAAGGCACATACTCAAGACAACACAGCGATGTGTTGACTTGAATGTGCCTTCTCTTGTCCATGTCCTTTGTCTGCGCTACCATATATATTATCAAGTAATTACTCAATTTGTTCTTACGTGGGAGAATGAAAATGTTACGAGGCAATGTTACAACATAGTTAAGTTTTGCAACATATTTCCGCTGTGATGATTTTCCTTGTAGGTTATTTGCGGTGCGGGTTGCCTCTGCGACGTTTTCGAGATTTGTGCTGTAGTATTGCAGAGCAGGCAAGCGCTGAACAGGAGTTCCCTAATATTACATCACTTGTTTATGCTTTTATTCTGCTGTGGCTTGTTGATGCAGTTACGAATTGGAACGAGCAAACGTCTTAATTATGATCTGGTCAAAATCATTTTGGTGCTTCCGGAAAACAATTTTCTCCGAAAAGGGTATATATCATCGCCGCTGCTCTGTCGAAGCTGTTGCGAGCCAAGCAGGGTGGCAAATTGTTTTTGATGTTTAGGTTTTTTCCGCACAGAAACGCCAAAAATTGTTCGCGCTTTAGTCTCTGATAAACCTGATCAGCCTTGCTTGTGGTAACTTGGAAGTTGAAGTTATAGCGGCAGTGAACCGCTAAAGTAAAACGCACCTTTACAGAGGTAATTGAATATTTACTGTACATTGATAAATGAGGGTTTATCGAATGTGTGTCGACGGTTGGTACAAATTCATTGCATCCCGACAACAACCCTGATACATTTCTTGAAGAAAATGTTTTTTTTTTTTTAAGTTTTGCATACAGATACGTACAGTGAGGTTGACCCTCTCTATTCCCCCTTCCCCCCAAAAATTGACGAATAATATTTAGTTGTTAGAGCTTTTAGGTCGGTTGTCCTTTCCTCAACTGCCCGTAGCCGTCTGCTAAACAGCGGGAGTGCCGTGTTGTGGCCTGACCTTGTTTTTTACTAATCTAAGTTTTATGTCCAGATTATGCTAGCGGTCCACGCACGATTGCATTGAGCACTAACGACTCAGAACTTCGTGCAAGCTGTTCCACGCTAGCAGGCCAACTTCACTTTTGGCCAACTGCATTTCCGATGGAGGCGGAAATGTTGTAGGCCCGTGTGCTCAGATTCGAGTGCACGTTAAAGAACCCCAGGTGGTCGAAATTTCCGGAGCTCTCCACTACGGCGTCTGTCATAATCATATGGTGGTTTTGGGACGTTAAACCCAACATATCAATCTTTTGGCCAACTGCAATTTAACTGCTGCCTTTCCGACGTGCACGTAATAAAGCCAAACAAGCTTTCTTTCAAAACACTTCAATTAATTATGCAATATGCCGAAAGGTTTTTTAAACTATTCTATTTCAAATTATTATTTTTCACACGTTGGTTGCGTTTAGTAGATGCAATAATGCGGCCTGGCTGAGCGGTACCTGGCCATATTGGCAAGTGCGAGCAAGCGAGCAGGCTGTCGCGCGGGGTTGTGCTTGCGTTGCACTAGATTCAGCGACTGACTCGAATAATTACGAAGGTCTAGCTGTCGGCCTATCATTGCATGTAATGTCTGCAAAAGGTTAGTACGAAAAACTTAGTCACTACTTCGCTGAGCGTCACCTTGTCCGCGCTCTTGCGGGCAGTTTCTTGCGCGGAACAAATTTCGGTAGACTGGTTTTTCACGCTGCCGAGTTAACCTGCGGAGCGTTGCAGTGCTCGAAATACACCAACACCGTTTTCCTGCGGAGCGCAATTGGCAACGTGCTAAGGCGTGACAGTTGCATCATTTACGATAGCGAGACTTTTTGAGCGAACGTGCACATACGGTGAAAGGTGAAGTTTATTTTAGGCGACTGATGGACGTCGCATTTCGCTGCAGCGCCGCGACAGAAAGTCAACCATTCGCGTGATTTTTTTTTCTTAAGAACTTTACGCGAATTGAATGCTTTCATTTCACGCACGACAACCCCACCTGCGGCCTTGTCGTACAGAGAACGCGTCTCTTTCGAGGATGGCGGCTGCAGTGCCTTAAAAGGGCTACGAGCTCGCCATGGTGTTCGCAATGGGTACTACCAAGGAAGACGAAGCCGGAGGCAGTTTGACAGACAATGGAGCGGCCACCGTTGCTTCTCCCGACACTGCGTCTAAGCTGTCGTCGAGGGATGCAGGCGCACCGGTGGCGTACTTCGGCGTTGCCTTGGGAGCAGGGATGAGTCCCTGCGATGACGATGGTGAGTAGTGTGCGCGCTTTCATCGCTTTGGTGCTAGTTCCTGACCACCCACCTGCTCTTAAGTTAATAGATGCAACAAGTTAGCGGACGTCCGCCTCGGTGGATCAGTGGCTAGGGCGCTCGGCTGCTGATCTGAAGGTGGCGGGTTCGATCCCGGTCGCATTTCGATGCACCGTTCAATGTCAGTGCGCGTTAAAGAACACCAGATAGTCGAAATTTCCGGAGCCTTGCACAACGGAGTCACTCATAAGCATATCGTTGTTTTGGGACGTAAAATCCCACATACTATTGTTATTTTCATTGATAATAATATTAACAGGTTAGCAGTCTAGAACACTGTCACGTAGCACCCAAAAACTTAGCACATCTGGGGTCCGTCTTGTCATACTTCTGTGTCACGTCACATGGTCATGCAGTGGTCACTACAGGCGCCAAGCGAGGCTTACCATGTTGAAAACTGGAGCAAAGTAGCAAGGTTGAAACAATGTAAGCTACAGAAATAACGAGGAATGAATCGCAATAATTTACCGACGATTGCGAGAAAGGCTTTCGAAGCATGCAGCCGTTGGCCACACTGCAGAAGAGAAAGCGCCACCGCCTCGGCAAAGGGTGCGACTGTCAAGGGAACCCGTGCTACGCACTTCCTCGAGATTCGCGGTCGTGGAGTTGCATTAAGTGCAGGATTTAAAACTGCGCCAAGACCTACACAAGAACTACATTAGCACAGGATTCAGGACTGCATTAGGACCTACACCAGGATGAAATTGCCGCAAGTTTTTTCTACTGACTGTTGCCGAGGGGCATGGGCGTCCGGAAAGTGGGCCAGGAAGGGCCACCTGCTTCTTCTGGAGTGTTGGATTGTTTTCCTTGCAGTAGCAACAAGCACAGCTTGATTAGCACACTCATTTCCCGTGTGCCCATTTGATACAGCCTTTCGAATTGCCAGCCAACTTTTCATGCTACACTAATTTTTCTGGTAATGTCGCAGCAGTAAAAGAAAAGCTGTGCTGGGGAGGTCTCCTCCCACTCCTTTGCAAAAAGTGGATGCCCTTGCCGGAGGATACATGTTCGCACTGTTTACATATATAAATCTTTAGAAAAAGCAGTTCTTGCTGTTATGCCTGAACAGTTCTGAGAGAAATTTCGAGGAAAGTTTGCATTTCGTTGCTGAGATAGTTTAATGTAACATTTCTTCCTTGCTGCATCTCTTTCTTTCTCAAGATTAATCTTTTCTTTTCCATGTATTATATGACCAAAATATCCTTCTAAAGAAATTTAACACCTCATCAATGAAACTGCTCTTTGTTTTAATAATGGTAATAGACATACTAATTGCCTTCTTTTTTTGCAATGCAATCATGCCACGTAATTTACTTTGAATTTGTCGGCCAAATCACAAACCATACAGCAATATTTGTTTTTACTGTGAATAAAATTCTGAAGTTATATTTCAGCACTTGATTCGTTTCATGCAGAGTTGCCGTTGGTTTTTGTGGACCGCACCCTGGCATTGCGCTGCGTAAAGAAGTACCGTGGAGCTCGGTTTAAGGCTTTTGGCTCCAGGGAGGAAGCGGCAGCTTTCAGCCTTACACCAGCAGTGGCAGTTGTGGAAAGCACGGATGTGCCAGACTCCACAACCGGTAAGTAGTACAGTTTCATAGTCTTCTCGTGGTGAACTTATGAAATTTGAGGATGTATATAGTAGATGTCATTAAAACGAAGTCATGATGTGCATGAATATAGTACTATGACAGTAAAAAGGAAGCAATACCGCTTTACTCATTACTGAACAAGATCTTGCCCAGGTGATGCCCTCGTTGGCCCAAAAGTAAACGGAGGAACACTCGGTTGATACAAGTGGGTTTGCCCTACACAATCCAAAAAGATACAAGAAACGAAAGTGTTATTGTTTCCTGGCATTTACCGTCAATATATTATTCCTTGTGATGCCAGTAATTCGTTCTTGTGGTGTCATGTGGGTTAAGTTTCAGATTGCTCCTAATACAAGGGTATTAGCTGCAAATTGTCACATTACTCTGCCTTGGCTAGCAATCAGGCACCTGTTCTGCCTTGCCTAGCATAACTATTATGTGCGATCAGTCGATTTCATTTCACTTTGTGCATCTCTGACTGCATCAGTGGACTCTGTGTAGCCGAAAAACATGAATACCTGATGGGCTTAATGCTTAGTGCGTCCGTTGCCCACGTATTTTACGAAGAAATACGTGGTGGCGTGGAGGTAGCTACTTTAGGAAGGGTCGGGAAAACAAAAAAGAAACTGCTCTCTTTGAACTTCGGAGGGCCAGTGAACAGGTTCAGACCTTTTTTTTTTTTTTACCCCCCTCCCCCCCCGAACATGTTCATCAATTTGAACAGTAGACCACCGTGACCACATTCTTGTAATATTACAGTGCCGTGCATTATGCAGACCCTCCATTTGAAATAACGATTCTTGCGTTTGACCGATCCCCCTTATACGCACAATGAGGCAAACATGTCCATGGGCAACCTGATGAGTCACTGGGCTCATCAGGTTGCCCATGGACATGGTTACCTTTGCCCTTCGAAATGGCATATTGGCCTTGCAATGATGCAATGAGCCCTTGCAATGAGCCGTGCATTCTGCATTTCTATTTTCCTGTGCTGTCCTCTGCTGTTTTGTAGAGCCCGAGACCTGCGAGAAAAGTGGTATTGCCAGAACGAAAGCCTTAGAGATAAAGAGGTGTCTTGCTACTTTACTGTTAGGGCAGCGTGCTCTTCGCATCGTGCCACCTCCGCAAGCTGCAATGACATGTGCACATGTGGGGAAAGCCTTGCTCGGTCGTTGGCTGCGCACAATGACTTATCATGTCACGTTGCCGAAGTAGGCGGAGTCATGACGAGGGGCTACGCCGTCCCCTTCGTATGGCAAAGAAGAGCGGAAAGGCCACACGAAAGTTTGAAACCAGCTGAAATAAATGCTCTAAACCTTGTAACTGTTTTATTAGAGCATATTTGCAAAATTCTTGTGGCAGCATGTTCACATAGCAAAATCGCACATATTTATTTTCATTACAATTTTTGGAGTAGCGCGGTGTGTGGAATTTCCTGTTCTACTGTCCGTGTCTGAGTGTGCGCCCTTATTCAGTCAAAAGATGAAAAAATTTTTTGACCTTGGGGTTGTTTACTGGAACTTTAAAAAGATGGTGCCACCGCGTTTCAAGGGTACAAAAAGGCTGCTGTAGGCTTCTTTTTTACACAAGGACAGTCAGCACAAAGTAATCACAGCAACATTTAGAATATCATATTTCAATAAGCTTCTAATGTGAGCCTAAATGCTCATTCTTGCGATTGAGACTCATTGCTAGTGCAACTGACTCAAATGCCACTGTGTAAGAAGTGTAGTGATTTCGGTGACATCAGGCCATATTCAAATGATGCGCTATGAGAGGTGACACCTCAGCTCCACTGCACCAAGCAAGCTAACAGAGCATCAGTTGCGAGCCTCCACTAACTTCTTTCTCAGCCTGTTGTTGAAGTAGCCAGATAGACCTTATGCAAAGTTAGCAGCACTGTCTAGTAGACACTGTAGCAATTACCAGCTTCATCTTAGTAATGTCATGTGGAGCAGACGACATAGTGCTCGAACGCATGGAGTATGTTCTTGTGTAGCATAAGCGAAACTCCTTTTTTATAACCATTAAAAGTGGGCTGTAGCATGTGCAGCTTGCACTGAAAACTTGTTTGTGCACAATTTCTTCAATATGTGCTTTGTTACCCAGCAAAAGTGCAATTGGTTTGATGGTGTCATGTTTTAATTTTTTTTGTTACGTTAATCTTGCGCTATTCAATTTATTGCCAGGATTTGTAACCCCAAGCAATCTCTATTTAGTTCCCCCCTTGTTTAAAACACATGGTGCTTCCCCACCAAGCTCTCTAATAGATAAATTTTATGGTGTTTGATGGTTTTAACAAGGAATTTAAAAAAAATAAAAAGGGGCAAAACACTAGAGTTTGCGATGTTACCCTTGCCGTTTACACTCCGGCACAGATGAAGTAAGCAAAATTATTAGCACAATGTTCGACGTTACTTCAGAAGAGCCCGTGCAGAAGCTTTGTCCGTGTTGTTCTTCACCGCTGTCATGAACTTAGCAGCACCACCAATGCCATCTTGCATCACCGCGTTTGTGTTACGTCACCAATAACTCATAACATGCCACTAAAATTACATTTTCACTTGTTGACTGTACTGCCACAGCGCAGAGCGCGGACTTCACGCCGAGCACGATGAGTGCCATTGAGCGCAAAGAGCTTGTTCGTCGATCCACTTCATTAGGATAAGGAAATATTTAAGTGGAAGGATCAGAGTTGTATATCCATATGAATGAGCAAAGACATTTCTCTTAATCTTAATACGTTTACGTTTGCTTTCTTTATTGCACATTTCTCGACAGATACTAAACAGGTTGTGGCTGCCATTGTTCACGTTGCGCGGTGTCGAATCGCCATAATGCTTATGCAGGGTCAGTGTCAAAAGGAACTCAAACAGCGGCAAGCATTTGCAATGGCATAGTGTGCGCCGTCCAGTCATCATCGTGGACAGGCATGTATATGTGCCTGTCCACCCCTTTAATGTCCTCAGTTACTCAGGCTGCGAGGGATGCCGTAGTAGAGAACTCCAGTGGATTTTGACCTCCTCATGTTCTTTCATGTGTCTTAGCACTGCATTATACAAGGTACTCTAGCATTTTCTCTTCCTCTGAATGATTGTCGCAGCTGGGTTCCAACTCGCGTTGTTTGTGTCAGCAGCTGAGCACTCGAACCACTGAGTCAATGTGGTGACCAAAATAACGCTCTGGGTTCTATCACTGGCTAACGGTGAACCTTCTATAGAAAAGCTTCACTTCTGAGGAATAAGTGTGGGTTTAAATTGAATGCAAGGGCTGCTGCAAACTGGCCAATCCGGATAGGTGTATGGCTAAACTCTACCCATTGCTCCAGTGCACCAATTGCTCCACTATTTCGTGTGTAAATGGGGAGTGATAGGTGTGAGCTACATGTACACTTCTGTGGCAAAGAATACTTGCACTCACTCTTTGCAAAAATAAAACTGCCCTGTATGAAAGCAGGCTTTATGAAAACACCTATTCAATTTATTTTCCTTCCAACCTTTATTTCGTGAATCCTTTGGCCCTTATTCTGATTTTCTTCTTGCCTTCCTTGTGAGTGACATTGTGAGTATATTCATCCAGTATGCTTGTGTAGAATTTATGGTAGAAATCATAGGCAGGACACGTAAGACTGTCCGAGCTCTCATGTTTCCACTTTCTTCCGTCAATGTTCTGCTGTGTCAAAGATATGCACCTCTGCTTTTTCCAGCAGCACTTATTGGGGAGAAGAGCAGCAACTACAGAGCTCCGAAGAGTCAGGACTTGGTCCAGCTGCGCAAGGCTATCGAGGCTGGAGACGCCACCTTCTTCAAGCAAAGTGTCTGGTCCAATCCTCGCTACCTCGTCGGAAGCGGTGACACCCCGACCATACTGCAGGTGTTGCTTTTGTTTTTGCGTGCACCAGCTACAACCGTATGATTTATGGCCTTGCCGCTGTCAAGTCTACTGAATTGGTTTCTTTAAAATGTGGACCATATGTGTGGTTTACATCTTGTGCTTATATACACACTGTCAAGAGGCCCTTGAAAGAATTTGGGTTACTGAGAAGTTTCTTAAATTCAATATGCAACTTTTGTAATCTTCAGAAACACGAAAGCGGTTTTAGAACTGGAGGCTACAAGTCTTGCTCTCAGTGAACTTGATCTACAAAGTGGTCTGCCATCTTGATGTTAGAGTACAAATCACTTGCAAAAAACTACAACCTTTAAAAAATTCTAAAAAAGTATCTTCATTTAGCTATGAAGTTCATGAAAGTGCAGACTCGGAAACGGAAGCAAAAAACGATAAGGTCATCAAACAGGTACCATGTACATCATGAGTTCTTGCCTACTTACCAGAGGCGTGTATGAGATGAATAACGCTAACTTTGGTAGCAACACCTGATAACGCAAAGCTTAAACACAGACCACAGAAAAGAACATTGCACCGACTTACTCGCTTACTGACTATGTGTAATGCATTGGCATTGAGGTAATTATAACCTCACAGTATTTTCATTGCTTTTTTTTCAGCAACAGTGATCTAAGGAAAGAAACAACAACAAAAAAGAAAAGCTATTGTAGCTAAACAAAACACTACAAGGCATCACTACTGGTTCTACAACTGCTGCAGCTACTGTTGCAGCAGTCAATTCCACCGGTCACCCAGTATCCACCAACACAAGTAAAGCTCTCTGCTGCCGGGATGGTACTGTGTAGTGGACAGATAACTGCTGCAGCACTCCCAAATTGTGTACTTGAGAATGGTGTGCTTTTAGAACGCAGTGTTGCTCGATCTAAACAAGTCCATAAAGCGTACTGTTGCAAAATGCCAGTGTGGCGATTTCACTGGTCCCTTCGTCACTTCTCAGCCTATTACTTTACAAATGATCACAGTAAATATGTTTCTGCACGCCTAATGCGGCGTCTGCTCTAAGCATTGCGTGAAACGTCGTCTCCGTTAGATGGCTGCAAAAACAAGATTGCAGCCACTGAGGAGATTTGCAAAGTGACTAGAGCTTCTCTCACAAATGTTTACGCTCCTCCCAGCTCCTTCGTCCATTGCCACACCAGATAAGTAACGTAGTTCATTGATCGAGGAAATAATCACTCTCGATGCTCAAAACTGGAGACGAAGCAGCTGCACTGACGATATAACGGAAGCGGGCCAGGGATGTCACCGGCTGTCGTGGTCACGTGATAGTATTTGTTGACGAGCAGGCCGACTATGTCATGGGGCACACGAGTGCTCTTTGAAATTAAAACTGCCTCTGGTTGTAACATAGGAGCATATAAAGAAAAACATAGGAGCATATAAAGAAACATTCGTCTTGCACTGGGGGAAAATGATGAATTTCATTGCTGCGAATAACGAGTCCATACTGCTGATTAAAAGCAAAAAAAAAAAGCCGAGGTGCACGGAATTTCTGTCACCACTCCTTTATGTAAGACCCTTATCTCTTATGACAACGATGTGCGATGAACTTTTTTAAATATGTGCATTATGAAAACAAGCAAGTAGAACATGCAAACTTTCAGCATTGCAGTTGCGTTCCTAGCAGCCCACTATTCCGAGACATCTTGTGAATTGGTACCCGCTTTCACGACACTCATTTCTTACGCACTAGTTGAGGACATCTTATGCCTTGGCCAAAGGTGTGCTTAGGTTAGCTACCCACACCATTCGCAATTGCAACCAGTCCACTGCAACCAAAAGGGGTATTTGCTTTCATGTATATTCAGATACTATTCATTTGCTAAAAATAAAAAAAAAATTCCGTATGTGCAGGAGGGCTACCGGTACAACGCACTGCATGTTGCCTGTGCCAAGCGGCAGCCCGTGCTGGTGCAATTACTGCTGGACACCCTGCAGGATCCACATTTCCTCGAGCTGCTCTACCCCGACGACAACCTCGACGTGAGAAATCGGCGCAAGGTGTTTCTCCTCGACCTGTACCTGAACACACCAGACAAAGGGGTGAGTGTACAACTGCTGTTAACAGCCAGTGTTTTTTTTTTATTCTTCAGAAAGCAGTGTTCTATCTGTGACAGCAAGTGTCGTGTTTGCATGAAATTTGAAGGTCTGTCTGGAGAAAGAGAAAGAGAGAAAAAAAACTGCGAAAGCTATTCCACCTTGTTTAAATTGGTTACGAATGAGTTGTATGATGGCTTTACTGATGTCACTGAAACTGCGATGTTGGAGCACCATCACGGTGGGACATGAAGCTGATAATTTCATGTTTACTTTGTGAGTGAAACCTTTGCAGCTTTTTTCGCTGTTTGTACGCAGAGGCCAAAAACATTTCAGTGGTGGTGTTGTCACATTGAAACTGGGTAATTTCTATGTAATTCAGGAGGCCTTGATGTTATCAAATCAGCCATGTTGGAGCCCCTGTATGCTAAGAGCTCGGGTTCATTAATTCACATGCAAGCTACCAACATACTACCCCAGCAAACGTGGGAAAGCTGCGGCGCCAAGAAACGTGCAGCTTGCTTGCAGCTTCTAAGCAGGGACAGTGTGAGCACTTGTTTGTTACACTTGCAAGATACTTTGTCTAGTGCATGAAGTTGTGGGCTGAGGATCCATGTGTTCCAGTTTATACAGTACAGGCCTCTTATAACATAAGTCACAGGAATCTCGAATATCTGCACTATAAGATTTACTGCACTACAGTCGAGCCTGCTTATAACGAACCTGAGCCTGACGCGGCATTCATTCGCTGTATCCCGAAGTTTGTAGTACCGTATTTACTCGATTCTACCGCGCCCTCGATTGTAACGCGCACCCGATTTCCACGACGAAAAAAACAAAACAAAACGTAAGACATCGATTGCAACGCGCACACATTTTTCTCGCTGGCCCGCACGATCACACCACTAAAAAAAATGACTCCTTTCGGGAGCGTCTTCCATTTAAATATGAGGTACGGGCGAAGCTTGTGCCCAACCGACGTGTAACAGAGCATTGCCATCACTGTAGTTTTACCGTGGACTGATGTCAGCACGCGAACTTGCTTCGCCCCCTTCTTCTCGACGGTTGTGGTGCCAGGCATGTCGAAGTAACGAGGCGTCTGATCGGCATTCCCGATTTGCCCAAGCAGGTAGCCGTTGTTGTGCCGCAAGTTTAGGACGGACCTCTGAAAACTGTGAAGCTTTTCATCGTACTCCTCCGCAAAACTTTTCGCATATGCCTGTTCCCCTTCGGAGGGAAAAGCCTTTCCTCTTCATAAAGTTAGTTAGCACCTGCTCGCTTTAAACAGGCTCCGCATTAGACCTTTTTCTAAGGCTAATTGCATAGCCCGCACTTAACCGATCACTGTAACCGATCGGCGGCGCTCAGAGACGCTCGTTGTAAGTGCGATTTTGTGTCATTGAAACAATGTATATTTTCACGGTCACGCGGGTATTGTTCGTTTTAAGCGAAAGTTCGTTTTAAGTGGGGCCATTATATAACTGTATAATCAAACAACCTTTTCTAAGGACCGCAATTGCGCAAAACGTGTTAAGCAAGCAGCCTGACTCGCGTGTTAGAGAAACGAAGCATGCAATGAGTGGTGCTTACAACATTTTAAATTTCCGGATGTTAAAACAAAATTCAATATCCAAAGAAAAGCGTTGCTATATAAATGAACACGAAAAGGGGGTGGCGGCTCTAATTAGAAAAAGTATCAGTGGATAAATTCGCTGACTGCTTCTCAGATCGCCTTGATTATGTGCATTACACAGAATGTTGAATCATATCCAGAATTTCACTCTCTGAAAGACATCAACCGTTCAATTTCATGGACGCACACCCATTTCGAGACTAGCAATCGAATCACGAATCGCCATTCGTGCGCTACAGGTGCCACCCTCGTCTTCGCTGATAATATCTATCCCTTATCGTCAAGTGCAGCATCCGCAAAAAGTTTTGTTGTACCAAACCACAACTTGGATTGCATGCAACCGCTACCGAAACGCAACCAATGCAGATTAGGCCTAGCCTGTCATTAGGTACATTGTCGCTGAAAGTTTGTCCAAGACCTGAAGATTCGACGCCAATAAAACTGCACTCGAGCATTGAACAAAGAACTACATGTAATATGAAGTTCGCGTTCGCGGCCGGGAGATAAACAATGACGAAAATTAGTGCACTGTTAGCAAAGGCAAAAGCTCGCATCATAGAGCCGTCAAAGGTTCTAAATTTGCGGATGAGGTACCACGCTCGACAATGACGATGCTTTTCCCAACAGGAAACTGTTAAGCACAGTTGATAAGGGCAGGATCACACGTGCTATGTTGAGCTGCGTGCAGTTGGACCCACTCTAGCGACGCTTGCTGGTGTGAACGCTTATCCATCGCCGAGGCGACCGCCCTCCTCCCTTGCCCGGCGGGCCCGCGCAGCATGCCGCAGTCTTACTGTTTTTTTCTTTTTCGTCCCTCCTCCTTTTGTTTATTCACTCCGCGTCCCTTCCTCCTCCGTAATGACCTTGTCGCTCACTCCATGACGGCAACAGCACGCTTTCCTGTCAGGCGTGAACTCGCTACTGCGATTGTCACAGATTTTCCGGCAACCGTATTATCATTGGTTACTCATCTTGGAGTGCTTCACAATAAGCTATGCGTATACTTATGGTTGTATGGGAGGGTGAACAGAAGTTGAAAAAGACTGCATTTTAACCGGTTTTACACTATGAGTGGTTACGTTATAAGTGGTTACGTTATAATTTTGTAGCTGATTTGGTAACATGGGCTGAAGCTAGTGATATCCTACTAAACCTTTACTTTTAGTAAAAATTTTTAAAAGCATATAATGAGCATAAAATTTGTACATTCATTAAAATTGATTTGATATTTGATATAAGCGCATAAAAATACATGTCTTCAACTATTTAGCATCGTAATTCTAGAATAAAATCTTTTTAGGTATATGGCAGCATTTCAGTGGGGGCCAAATGAAAAAGATTTAGGTTTTAGTGTGTGTACTTAGATTGCTTGATAAACAGTCTTTTTAGGCAGTCAAGACTAATCGTCATCCAGTTTTATCACCTTTACCATGAGTATAGTGTGGTTCTGGCTTCAAATTTTATGTTGCCATAAAAATCTGTGTTGAATGTGGCTAATTGTACCTCTTTTCTTTTCTTTTTTTTTTTTAGCGTTGCGAGACACCGCTTCACTTTGCCTGCAAGTTTGGCTGCTACGAAGCAGTGGAGCTTCTTGTAGCACTGCCCGAGTGTGATAAAAACAGGTGCAATAAGGAAGGACAAACACCACGTGAGGTCAGTACTGCTTGACAGTGCCTGTCGGTGATGAGTTAGGGAAGTGTTGGTGCACATTTGAATAAATATCTAGCTAGGGAAGTGACCAATGCACGGGGAATTCATGTTGTACTTTTGATTCCTTTTGATTTTGGCTTTGGCTGCGACTACAGTTAACCCGTTTGTAAGAAGCATACTCCGGGCAGCAATTCTTGGCTTATATATAACATGTCGCTTATAAGCATGGTACCTCATGTGCATTTTCCTATCATCCTGTATTTTTCTGTAGGCACACTGGTGTCTCTTATACCCCTTTGTCTCCTAAATCAGTGTCTTATAAAATGGCTCGACTGCAATATGTCTTTGCTTCATTTCAGATCATTTGTGACCGGGTGCCATCTGCCTCTGCAGACTTAAAAAAAAGGATGGACTCATTGTTTGAAGGCAAGCTTGCATTCACTTAGGCGTTTCTCTGTACATTTATTCTACCTATACCTTTTAGGTTGTTTCAAATGTAATGTCTAGGCTTGTGCGAATATTCTAATGCTTCGAATATTCGAATGAATAGCTGAGTTTTCGAAGTATTCGCAATGAACGAATAGGTGTATACAGTCGAACCCCGCTACAACGAACACTGCTTCAAAAAATTCACGGTTCCGTGTCAGCAGTTCATAGGAGTCAATGCATAAATATTGTCGCCACAATGAGCACTTTTTCTACTGCCGTCCCGCCTTAATGAAGTTTCACGATGCAATTCCAAGCTCAGATATTTATTGCTATACAGAAAACACAATCTTTAACACTTTGATGCATATTTGATGCATTTGACGCCCATGTCTGCTGTTCAGCAGACATGGGCGTCGCCATTGCTTGATAGCAATGGCAATAAGACTGCCCTGCTTACGGAGGATGGCCCTGCTTTTGCCACTGGCTTTTTTTCGAGCCGCAGACGACCCGGAGCTGAAGCTCAGTCGCTCAATTCATGGTTGCCTTCACGCAGCTTCTGCGTGCAACCGCGGAGCGATGCTTTCTCCAATTCCAATGCTTATTATTTTATTCGTGCTTGACCAGTGAAGTACCTAATCCAAGCAGCTGTTCGTGTGCATTATCAGCTAAATCAGCCAGCCGCGAGATTTTAATGATAAGAATGACATAGAATAAGGCAAAAGTCACCGCTCCACGATACCGTGCCTTCATCTCGGCGTTGTCGGATATGCTTTGACGGCGGATGGCTGCTTGTGGTAACGTGTTAATGCAACTGTTTGATACGTTTACGAATGCGGTTGTAGGCGTGATTTCAGCGGTCTTCAATGTGGCCTTGCTATGCATGACTGTGAATCTCGTCGAGATGCTGCTAGAAAAGAATAGGAAGCAGTGGACACTTTTTTAATTTTAAGAACAAACATTCCTTTGTTTAGTTAGCTCAGATCAGCTATATTTTTTTCTAATTCACTACAACGAAATTCTTGCTTCAACGAAATATTTTTTGTGCCCCGTGAGTTTCATTATAGCGGAGTTCGACTGTATTAATCTGTATGTAACTGCTTGTAAAGGTAGTTTCACTGCAATGTAGGGGTGCTAAACCGTGAAAGCACCTAAAGGAAATTCGCTTAACCATGAAGCCCCCCTGCAACACTTACTGAGCATGGTCAGAAGACGCAGCCGATCAATAGTCGAGGCTCCTGAAAGCATGCGAGGCAAATATTATAGTGCAGCACGCGGCCTGTAAATCACAATATTTTTTCAATGCTAAAAATGATTTTCTTCCCTTGGCAAATTACACTACGAGCTCAAAAATCGCTTGTCACCGCCAAGAAAGAATATATGGCTCTGGTTACAGCCATCGGCTGATATGAGCATAGTGCGTTTGTCGTTAACAGGGATGCCGCGGGAGGGCGCTGCTTGCCCACGAGTACTTGCGCGATCGCACTGAAAAGCCGCATATTCTAAGAAAAAAAAAATGTTCAAGGTCACGAGGTGTGTGTGACTTATTTTCTTTCACCGTGCCATTCCTTCCTACTTAGCTTCCAGCTATTTCGTTGGGACGAAAAGAGAGAATGCAATTGCAACGTGCGACACACTTTTAGAACTCCACTCGTACTGGACTGATTCTAGAAACTTTGCAGCGGTAAATTTGTGAGGCAACAAGCATGTTTACTAGCTCCATGGCTACTTGAAAAAGTGTTGCAGGGCCCTTTTGAAGGATCATGTTACCCTCAATACAATACTTCATTTTATTAGGCTTGTTATGACTGCTTATATGCTTTAAGTATAACAAATTTTAAAGCATTAAGTATCTTACAGGTTATCACTCGCATCCTACCGAAACTACTACTCAACGTTGATTCGACCTCCTTTGAAAGGAAAAAAAAAAGGCATTTGTATAGAGCCCCTATTTCAATTCAAAGAAAATATTGTGCAGGGTAGCTAGGTAAGCTAGGTAATGAATTCCCTCTTTTTTTTCTCATACATACCATTCGAATCTGTTTTGAAATTATTCAATCAAAATCACTATTCGCTTCGAACCTAAAACTCACTATTAGCACAAGCCTAGTACAATGTCATATCTCATATATTGTCAATTGTAAGTCGACCCACCAGCTTGCAACCCATCTTAGGCAAAAAAAGAAAAGTTGGCTTCGAACACAGCCTCATGCTGCAGCCATAGCACATCGGTAAGCCTTTCAGAAGAAGTAGTCATGCAGAGAAACATTTATTTGATTGTGAATCATCGCTTAAGACTCAACGTTGCTTGAGATAATCTTCAGTTAGTTTCTTTGTAACTTACTGAAGATAAGCTACCAACAAGCCTGCATTGCATCTCTCGTGAGTTTGAGAGAAGAATGCAGCAGTCACGGTCATTGCCGTCATGTGAGCCACGGCTGCTGCTCGCTGTCGGAAGGGGTGCTGGGGGTACTGAGCTGCTGCACGTCGAAAACGTTGCACGGACTACATCGGTTAGCAATGTATACGAGGCATCATTAAGTCATTGCTCCACTTCACACAAAAGACTCGGTTAGCGGGAGGCACATATTCTTCGCGGCAGTACGGGTTTTGCTTCAATATCATCGTAGCAAACACACGGGCTGCTTCTCTGGTCGTGAACCCAATCTTGAACGGCCTCCTCAATGGCAAGGTATTGTCCAGACTGCGGTCCGTGAACGGAAGGGAATGTCGCTGCATACGAACGAACTTGGTCCTTTGTTTTCTTCATTCCTTCACGCTCTTGTCCGACACATTGAACTTCCGCCCTGCTTCGATGCTTTCGGGCTCTGCCCGTAGGATAGCTAGCTGATTGAAAGCAGTGCTGTACTGTTGCCAGTGTAGCGGTGGCATCTTGGCGTCTGTTGAGCAGCTTCCCAAATCGCACACACCACTATACGCAAGCGAGGCGAAATGAAAAAATGGCAAACAGGTGTAAGCGCAAAAAGACGCATGAGGTCTTGAGGGCGCATGTGACTAGTCGTGGGGTTTAGTTTGCATGTGACTGGCCATACTGACCATGTTGCTAGCGCACGCAGCGCGGCCAGGTTTTTGGTGCAACGCCCATGGTGCTTGGCAGGAAATCTGAATTGTTTTAATTGCCTAGTCGGCAAGCACTGGTCGTCACGCTGTCCAAAGAGCGCCGCTCTCTCGTCAGCTTCGACGCCAGTCACAACAGCGTATAGGTTGTGGGAATTGAGGCTAGCCCGCTGCCTTTGCGCGGGCTTTGCCGCCTTTTCTGCCGTTCTCATGTCCCGACATGTCTGCCCTCCTTTGCTGTCTGCCGTGGTGGGAGAGCGGAGTGACGTTTAACTCTCTCACCCGGAAGCGGATGGTGACTGTGGCGCCGCGCGCGGGGACTCCTGAGAGGTTTTCGCGCGCTGCGTCGGGAGTGGTCAAGTACTCTTCGGGACAGCAAACGGTGAGCCGCGCTATCTTTTCCGTCCGTCGACTCCTGTCAGTCGGGGGCTCGTCGGACTTCGCTGACGGCGCCTCGCGCCCGAGGCGAACGCTCACCTTTTGTTGCCCCGCTGCGTACTCACGGCCGAAGGGCAGTACGGTGTCCCAGTGCGTGGCCTAGCTACGCCGACCTGTCTCCCTCCGAAGCCAACGCGAGCGCCTTTGCCCTCGCTCGAGCAACCGGGCCTTTGTTCCGGTGTCTCCGTGGATCACCTTTACCGCGGAGACGTGCTCGTGGCACCCTGTGTAGTACTTTGTGCCCGTGGCGTGGATAAGCCTACTTGCTTTCCCGCCGCGCCTTTTTGCAACGGGCTGTACTGCGTTTGGTGTTGCCACAATAAAGTGTTGCGACGTTGAGCAGTATCGTGTTCTCGCCACAGCGACGGTTAACGCGTGCCCTGCGGCTCGCTAAGACCGGACCCACGCTGGTCGCCGTACTCCTTCGGGATACGTGTACACCACAAGGTCAACACCGATTATAAGTCGACCCCCAAAACTTTGGAAAGCCAGTTTATGAAAAAGAAAGTCGACTTATGATCGGCATTATACGGTACTTCTGTAGCAGGAGCAGGCACTGCATTCCATTTCTCCTTGATTACGTAGGGATTTGAGCTCAGTCTAGTTATAGGGGTCATGAAAATATTCTCATGGGCACGAAGACGTCACTCTAACCTGGGTGCTGAAATGGCACTTACTGGAATAACTGGCAACGTTGTTGTGGGATCAAGTCTGGAGCTGCCCTGTTCGCCTGGATTCCTGTGCACTCCCTGCAACGTTGGCTAGACCAGCGCTGACTGATGACTTCTGAACACTCCTCATAACATATTTTTGGTGAAGATGCAGGGAGTCTCTTGAAAGATCACATTTAGCTATGAAATTTGACTCGTTCATTGGCTGAGCTGATCCAAGAGAATGTGATGAATGAAACACGAGCTCCCTTGGACTGTCAGTCAATCATTTGCTGTAGCTGTTCTTTCTTCTATCGATGAGTTGCAATTTTCTTTGGAACAAATGGTGCCGTGGGTTACAAAAGTGTGGTCTATAAGCCTTTCTTTATTGAAAGTATGTTTTTGTCAACACCTCTGTTGTCTTTCTTGCATTGTCTACGGCATTCTGCAGCTAGCAACTTGGTTTAAAGGGCTGCTGTGAACAGGCTCCAACAAGCTCGCCGATTCAGTAGGCCACGGTGATCACATTTTCTTAATATTACAGCGCTGCGCACCCCGCAGATCCTCGATCTTGAAAAACAGTTTGAAACAGCACCTTGGCCCTGCGGTGATGAAGTTTTGGTCGTGCGGTCCGCATTTTCATTTTCCTGTGCTGCCCTCTGCCGTTTTGTTGAGCCCAAGACCACTGGGAGAAGTGGTATTGCCAGAATGAAAGCCTCCGAGATGAGGACGTCTCGCTGCTTTACCGCTAGAAGGGGGCTCCTTGTGCTGCATTGATGAGTGCTCGTGGGGGAAGGCCTGCTCAGTTGGCTGCGTGCCAATGACGTATTGCTGAAGTCATGTCACATTGCTGAAGTGGTGAGGTTGCTTGCGCATTTGAAACCAGCTAAAACGGATGTTCTAACCCATGCAACTTCTTTATTATAAAACGTACAGCTGAACATTTTAAATGCTAAGCATTTCTTGGCGAACTTCAGCGACTTTGAGCGTATCTATATATCTATCTAGCCACCTACGACTTTTCGCTCTCCTGGCCGTTTCGATAATGGTATGGATACCAAACTTGGTATGGCATAACATGACTGTATGAAGAACATATTTGACTAGCCATAAAATGAAAATCATGACATGCATGTCATGAATGTCATGATTTACATTTCATGGTCCTGCAGCTATTGCGGGGGTTTCGTTCACATGGCATGTTGAAAAACTGGTATGGTATGACATGATTGCATGGAAAACACAAGCGACAGACCTAAACGTGAAGATCATGATATGCATGTCATGTAACAACATGACTACATGCCACGCTCATGATGTGCTCGTGGCTGTTTTGCTAGTGTCATATATATACCAAATTTGGTATTACGGTGCGTGAATGGATGACGAAGGTATGATACTGGTGCAAAAATCATAAAATGAGATGCGTGTCATGTAACGATGTGACTACATGCCACACTCATAATGCACTCCCGGCTGTTTCGCTAGCTTCACATATGGCAAATGTGGTATTACGTGACGTCAATGGATGACGAAGGTATGTGGTTGGTGCAAACAGGATAATCATGAGATGTGTGTCATGTGGGAACATGGCTCCATGCCACAGTCAAGGCATCAATAAATTTCGACGTGATGCGGTGCGCATGCTCGTCGGTGTTCATTTCGTCGCGTCACGTTGCCATGCCAGGTGCCGGTCCTGCCATATACTTGCAGGCACGCGCCGCGCTGCGTTGCTTTGACGCATGCGCGTTTCAGCGCATCCGGCATCCGTCCGTCATTAAAAGAGGGAGACGCAGTGTTGTCTAGGTAACGTATCGGCGCGAAATGCTGCATGTCGCATTTCGTGCCAGTTGCCGTCGGGCCGCACCGACGGATGCTGGTCGCAACGGTCGCACCTGGCGTCAGACTATAGAGTGCTCGCGTTTTGCTAACGTAGCGTCGATGTGCCCAGCGTGCGCGTGGGTCAATGCTACATTGAAGTTTATTGAGCCCTTCATGATGCGCTCGTGGCCGTTTTACTAGCTTCTCATATACCAAATTTTGTGTTATGTGACATCAATGGATGATGAAATATATGACTGATACAAACATGATAATCCTGACACGCGTGGCATATGAAAACATGACAACATACCACGCACATAACGTGCTCGCGGTCGTTTCGCTAGCTCCACATATATTAGATTTGGTATGACGTGACGTGAATAGATGACGAAGGTAAATAAGATATCCAAGCATGATAATTATTTACCGGAAGTCATGTACGGCATCATTCACCTCCACTTCGTAACATTGTGCTGATTATAAATTGACATGTCAACATTTCTCATTCGTGCTTCGCATGTTATCGATTCCCGCTGTACGTGGGATCTGACAATTTTTTATAAGACACACTGATATAAAAGACGAATGGGTATAAGACACACTAGTGTGCTACAGTAAAGATACGGGTTGATAAAAAAATGCATACAAGGCACCTCGGTTATAAGAGACATCTCATATAAAAGGTAGGAACTGCTGTTCAGAACATTCCTGTTATAGAGGGGTTTACCAAATTGTATTTACGAAATTCTTGTGGCAGTAGTATGTTCAAATAGCGAAAGTGCGCATATTGCTCTGCATTGCAATTTTTGGACCTTGGAGTTGTTCAATGGCCCATTAAGGTATTACTGTCAGTCATGAAAACTAAATATGAAAGGCAGATTAAAAAAATGTTTATGTGGTTAGATTTGGATTCCTGTTGAAGAACCCCAGGTGTTAAAGACTGTCCTTTAGCCCTTGAAGTTTTGTTTTGGGGCCCTGCAACACTTTTCGAGGATGTGGTCAGAAAACTTCGCCATTCACTAGTTGAGGCCCTTAAGAACATGCAGGCCAAACATTACAGCACAGCACAGGATCTGGAATTTACAATGTATTTTCAAAGTTGGCTAGAGATCGCTCACTCTTCTCTCAACAAATGATGTTGTAAACCGTAGGTGACTGCATCAGAAACACGAGGTCCACAACCATTGCCTGATTTCAGCATCATGAGCTGCATTGTTAATGTGGCTGCTATGAACGCCACCACGTGCCAAATGCTCGCTCTAGGTCACATTGAAAGTAAACCATGTTTGAAAGAAAAAAAAAAAGTAAAAAGGGCCTCAGGATTGCAATGCACGCTGGGGAACGTGCATAGCTTCTTGTCTCTTTGTCATCCTCCTGCCCCTTGCTTAGCATTCTGGAAAAGGTGAGAGAAAGTACTTAAAAGCTTGTGACAAATCTCTGTAACTCCACCTGTAATTGACAGATTTTATGGCAATGAATTTGTGAGGCAGCAAATTCTCTTATGAAGCCATTCGATGATTACCTGAAAAAGTGTTGCAGGGCCTCTGTAAGTACACTGAATCTGTTGGCCAGCCAGTCAAGTTGTTTTGCTTTCCCAAATCTGACAGAACGGCTCTTTGTGCCAGTGCTGAGGTCGGAGGACAACTCAGTGGCACCGACAGTCGGGGAACCATTCTCCCCCAATGCATCGACCATGCACAGTCCTGTGACAAGCCCACGCGACACCTCACTCAGCATCATGGCCACTGCAGGACCCATGTCTCCCACTGAGGTGCAGTATGGTTGCTCTGCACTTGCTCATCCTTTTTGAAGTTCTGTTCTGGACACAGTAGAACCCTGTCAATACATTCCTTGCTGTTGCCATTTCCTGGCTGCTGGACCATATTTATTTTGGCCTAACCTTAATTAAGCTAATTAAATCCGTAAAGTTTCTCACACAAACTTCATCACTCACCGTGGTTGTGTAGTGGTTATGGTGTTTGTCTGCAGACTGGAAGGTCACTGAAATGAATTTCGGCCACGCCGGCAGCATTTCAATAGAAGTGAAATACTAGAGGCTCGACTTCTTGCTAGTCGAGCCTCTATACTACAAGGGTACGGCAATGGCGAATTTCAAGGCGGCAGCTGTCGTATGATTAAATGCGAAAATAGGGGCCAATAGGAAAGTTCACGAATTATTTTCTCCGTTAAAACAAAAAAATGTAATGATAAAACTTCGCATACGAAGAGAACTGTTTTTCTTCCGACTTGGGTGTAAAGGTGATTTTTAATTGGACCACTACAGTGTGCAAATTGCATCTCAATATGGACAAAAATGACGATTTTGCGAAATGTGTGATTTTTTTCTCGTAAAGTTTAGCAACCTTACAACAAGGAAAATATTTCTTCCTCAAAATATACTTTCTGTGAAATGAGTATTCACAACTCAGATATTCATACAAAGTGCAGTATTGCAAGAGAAAAAAACCGCAAACATAACACATTTTGACTAAATTCTTGGAAGGGTATGTGCCAGTAAAATTGCACTAATATTATGGAGCTTCAAACACATTGTACAAGCACCTTTACTCGACATGTAGACCAAATTTGGTATAGAAACGAGCGGTACTTTTAAAGTAAATTTTTCCACAAACAACACCCAAACGCCATGCCAGGATGTTCAGAAGGCAGCCACGTGACCAAACATTTTTTCCTCCTCGAAATATTCTAGCAGTTCACTGTTTTCAATGCAGTAAATCAGCCCAATTTTTTTTATATACATTTGAGACTCGCCGAAATGGCTGAGATGTTTGGTGTAGAATGACCCAACTGCGAGTGCAGTGCTGGTGTGTCTTCCCTCTTTTTTTGTTTACATTGCTGCAGTTTGCATCGAAAAATAAGTGCTACTCACCAACTACGTACCATTTTGTCCCATTTTCGCAGTCTTTGTTTTAGCTCTCTCATGCATGAATATGCTCGCACCTGCTTTTGTACTAGGAATATAACTTTCTTCCCCTTCTATTGGGCTCTGTGATGGTGGGAATGGGCCAGTATGCAAGGGTGGCATTCTTTCGGTGGGAATGGGCCAGTATGCAAGGGTGGCATTCTTTCTGTGCGTGTGTATACCACAGCTCCTTTCCTTTCAACTTTCACCAGGCCCGCAGCATGTACCGCCAGTGGAAGACTCCGAAGCGACGCAGCATTGGCCTCAAGGAACCACTCTCACCCATGGACAGCATGCGGCTTGCTGACATGGAGAAGGGGCTAGAGCGTATTGGTCGGTAAGTAAGCTGCCAAACTTTTGCCAAGAGGTTGGGTTAAGCTCTACTGCACCAACTACTGGTACAACTCTGAAACCAAGACTGAATTAAATTTTCTGATGCTGCAAGATGGTCATGGTTGCATAAACCTCGCATATCTGTTTGTACCTTTTTTGTATATAAAGCAGCAAGAAAGATAAGGAAGAAAGAGAAAGAAGCTACAGGCACACTGCCATTGGCCTCGACCTGTTGTTGAAGCAGTGGTTTGCAGCCACCCAGCCTGATAAAACTAGGACTGCTGTTAGTAATAAATAGGAACTCCACCGACATTGCCATCCTTATCATCCGATAATAGCACCAGCACTATTGACCTGACCATGAGCGTAGTCTACAAAATGTCAGCTCTAGTTTTCAGTTTGCTACTATACACGTATGAGCATGTGAGTAGGGGGTTTTTTGCATTCTGCAACTTGAACCACATGCTGTGAGCTTCCATGTCGACCACAGTTGTAGTAATTTAGACCTGCAGATTCAAGAAATATATATGCACGTACATTTACCGCGTTGTGCATCATTTCAATGTGTAGTGGTGCGACTACTTGAGAGAGGAACAACTTGTTCTTTAACACTTCCCGTAACTACTTTCCAGCGGTCTTGCCAAGGAAATGAGGGTGCCTTGGAACGAGTACTGGCCTTTCCTTGGCTGCTGGTGCAACTTGGCTTCTCCAGAGGGCTTAGAAAAACTTGAGGCCCACCTACGAAGCAAGCGTTCACAGGTATATACACATCATTATCTTTTCTTTTTTGTTTTGAAATTAAGTAACAGGGACACATTTGGTGGTCAGTGCTTTAAGCTACAAAGAGTGGGTCAAAATATAAAATAAGTGGGCAAGGCAAAAAGAAAGTTTCAGACAAAAAATATAATTGCATTGCCTGTTATAAAAGAAGTGAAATAGCCCTGCCGCGGTGGTTTAGTGGCTAAGGTGCTTGGCAGCTGGACCTGCGGGTTTGCAAGATCGAATCTTGGCTGTGGCGACTGCATTTTTGATGGAGGAAAAAATGCTGTGAGTCCGTGTGCTCAGATTTGGGTGCATGTTAAACAACCCCAGGTGGTCGAAGTTTCCGGAGTCCTTCATTATGGCGTCTCTCATATTTGTATACGGTGGTTTTGGGATGTTAAGCCACACATATATCAATTATTAATTGAAAAGGAGTCAAATAAAAAGCTTGTTGACACAAGTGCATGATTCTTGCTACTGGGCAGCAATACAACATTCTAAACATATAGCTTGATGTGAGCCTTTTTTTTAAGCATGGCTGGTTCATCTGTATGCTTGAGCTTAGTATGAGGTGGAAATGTCCAAGCTGTGTGAATGCGTACGCAGGAACACATCCATACGAGACAATGTTGTGCACTTTCTGGTAGCTGGTTGGCGACATGTGATTTTTTTCTTGACATTTGAAGCACGGTTTGGGCTTTATTGGGCTCAGTGAAACAAGGTACGGCTCCTTTTTTCAGGACGATTCTAAATGTGCTTGCAGGTGGTGTCTGAAAGGTGGTCTCTAGAGAATTCTCCCGTGGCATCTGACGAACTGTCGCTGTCCAGTCCAATCAGCCAGCTTTGCGAAGCGTTGGGTGATCTCAAATTGGGCCCCACATTTGAAAAAAGCTGGGGGAGGAGGCAAGAGGGCCAGAACCACCTTCACAATGCCAAGACGTCGAGGACTCCCAATGGAAGGGCAGTTTCGGCAGCAGGTGTGCATTGTCTTCGTGCATTACGCCTTACTGTTGTTGCTCTTTGTGTCCAGCTTGGCGATGCTCACACTTGTTTGTGCAGTGGAGTAAAGTGTGGGATTGGGCTAGTTGGTATTATTAAACTTCTCAGCGCGAAAATTTTAGACAACAAACACAAGAGACGAGGACAAGAGATGCGGAAGAGCGCTTGTTCTCATCTCGTGTTTGTTGTCTGAAGTTTTCGCGCTGAGAAGTTTAATAATGTGCAGTGGAGTCTATCTCTAATTCTGTATTGGTTAAAATTATAATGCTTAAGCAAACTCTTCTACAGACAAGTTTGTCGGTTAAACACTATGTTGAAATTGCTCTAGCATCTCATTTTCAATTTTGCCCTGCCCCTTTATGGGGTTTTGCACTGCCTCTTTTTGACTGTTCTAGACTTGCTGGAAAAGGTCTTTCTGGCTGCTCTAAGCCTGTTACAAAGGGCAGTTTTGCCTGCTCCTAGGTCTGCTTCTAAACCCATGCACTCCAAGATTATGCTGTAAAATTTGCTATCAACATAAGTCTTGGAAATGTCTATCTTTCAGACCCTGGATGCACCCCTCCTCAGTGCGGAGCATCGCACAAAGGGGTTTCCCCAGCAGCTCAGCGCTTGGCAAGGGTACTGTTTGACTGGGCAGTGGCCCATGACGCGGGCCCACAGCCGGAGGCCGATCTCACCTTGCAGCTAAATGAACAGGTAACACTGAGGGATGGCTTGGCAGATGAAATAGGCACGGTAGGATTGTTTCGACCTTTTCTCTTAAGTTTCAACTTGTACGCTTTAACTTTACTAGGTGTAGTCTGTAATATTACTACCCATGTATTTTCACTACTTGTGTTTTGTTCATTATGACCTTTGCCAATTCTGTGTTGCCACTTTGGGAAGCAGTCTCGTGATCGTAAAGCTTTATGTCTACCATTAATACATACAATCGCTAACAAAATTTTCGGACTCGAGCCATTCGGACTTTTTGGATATTTCGGACTTCACAAATGCACTGCCAAGGTTCCTATTGCACTAATCCATTTTTGCGATTTTTCAGATTTTATGTTCTAAAGTTCGATTTTCCTGACTAAATCGTTTGTTTCGAACCATGCCGTTCCATTTGGAAAGTTATGTTGGATATATTGTTAGCTTGGTCGAGTATGGCTAACAGTGGCTAGTTGTGTGACCTCCAAGATGGGAAGCGCGCACAATCTTTCAGTTTCGGAGGCCATGTCTTATCTTCCTTGTCTAGCAAAACTTTTTCAATCAGCCTTATCATCATCATCATTAATACGCCAGTAGGTTGTTTTTATTTTCTGGGCGTTCATTCTTCTGATCTTCATTTGGCGCATGGTCACGTAACTTGTGTGTCAAGTGTGTTTGATAAAATGGTTTGAGCCGTCGAGCACATCACATGCTCGCTGCTGTTCGTGATCGCTCAGTAGCACTCCGTGGTCACGGTGCTCGGCTACTTACCTGGAACACGTGGGTTCAATCACAGCCGCGATGGTAGCGTTTTGATGGTGGCGAAATGCTGGAGGCTCGCATACCCCGCGGTGTTGGTGCAGGTAAAAGACACCCAGAGCGTGTTGTTAAATTGCACTAAACAGGCGAAATGTTGCGTGCATTTTTTGGCTACCGGCATCAAGTTTTGTTTGCTTGGTTCCGTGGACACCACCTTTGCCGACCGTTGCTTGCCAGCAATGTTAGTGTAGCTCAAATAGAGCCAAATTTGCTCGTTCCCAAGCAGCTTGAAGTATGGGAATACAGTGAAATCTCGATACAACGAATTTGAAGGGACCGCGGAAAATAGTTCGTTATTTGGAAATATCGTTACAGTGAAAACATCGAAAATTCGCATTAAAAATCGTAAATGCAACAAAAGGAGTCGCCTACCTTTGCTGTGTACACATCCGCAAACGCTCGATTTTATGACGAGCGTGAAAAGAAACAAAACGCGAAGTATTCCGGAATGAGCGCACGTTTATTTGAAAAAGTCGGTGATCTTGGCCTGGCGGGTGCCGCTCAACTGCCGCAGGACGAACGCTTCGAAGTTGTCCACATTCTTATGCTCTGCTTCGGTGGCATTGCTGCACCTGCCAAGGTAAGTGCGCATCTTTCGCACGCATTTCATGATGTCGGCGTTGGAAAGTGATTCTTCTGGTTGGCTAACGGGCGCGGTCTCAGCGTCGTCTTCGCCATTGGCGTCCTCGTCGCTGTTATCACCACGAACAGCACTGACGATGTCATCGGTCGTCAGTTCGGCTGACGTGCATGCTTCGTCGTCGCACTGCACATAGTCCTCGAACGTCACCGAGGCATCCATCGCGAGTCTTTCCACGACTTCTTGCCACATGCCACTCGCGTCGCTTTCTTCGCTGCCTTGTTCAGATTCAGATGGCATTACTACCAAGCCTGCCTTCCTCCAGCAGTTCTGGATGGTGGTTGATGTAACGCTCCACCAGGCCCCGGTAACCATTTCTGTGGCCTGTCGCACATTGATGGAGGTAGGCAGCTTCATCCGAAGATTTATCAGCAATCGCTGAACCAGGCGTGTCCGGTAATGGGCCTTGACGCCTTTTATGATGCCTTGGTCCAGTGGCTGGAGCAAGGACGTACAGTTCGGAGGCAAGAATTCTAGCTGTACATTTGTCAGCCTGACATTAACAAGATGCGCCGAGCAGTTGTCGGCGATAATCAGGATTTTCCTACCTGCGCTCCTCATCTCATCGTCCACCTTTAGTAGCCAGTAGCCACTCAGAGAATAACTCTCGTGTCATCCACGCGCGTGAATTAGCCCGATAATCGCACGGCAATGAAACAACGTTCCTCATGCAGCGAGGCTTCTTGTATTTGCCGATCACCAAGGGCTTCAGCTTCTTGGTGCCTGTGGAATTGCAGCATAACAATACCGTAATCCGGACTTTGGACTGCTTGCTGCCTTTGCAGCTGTTCCCTTTAAAATGCATGGTTTTATCAGGAAGCATTTGATAGAAGAACGCCATTTCGTCCGCATTGAATATATCATCTTCGGAGTATGAAGCGACGATTTTGCGGAACTTCTCGTCCCTCCATGCAGCAGCGCTTGCTGCGTCTGCCGCCTTCTCTTCACCAGACACCACTTGCCAGGTGATTACATTCCTTTCACGGAAACGATGAAGCCACCCCGCGCTTGCTTCGAAGCCTGTGATGTCCAAAGCATCAGCGCTTTGCCGGGCTTTTTCCTGCAGCATGGGTCCCGACACCGGCACATTTTGAGAACGCGCGTCCTTGAACCAAGTCAGTACTGCAGCATCCACTTCTTGGAAATTCCCAAGTCGGAGCCGTTTTCTTGACGGTGCGAGTTGGGACCCTCGGTGCAGCTCGAGGATCTTTTGTCGGTCCTTCAGGATGGTTGCGACAGTTGATGGTGCAACCCCCATCTCGTTCGCAATGTGGATTTGTTTTTTACCGGCGTCCACTTGAGAAAGAATATCCACTTTTTCTTTCAAAGAAAACTGCCTCTGTTTCTTTTTCGCGCTGCTTCCGGAGCTCATCGCGAACGCAGAAATGAATCACTCTAACCTTTACAACGAGAAAGCCGTACGACAATCGTGCGACGTTGCCGGTCGACGTAACAAAACAAAGGCGGCGAGGTCAGGCTCAACCTGGCTCAACGAGCATGCAAAAAAAAAAAAAACATCGAAAACAAGGTACTGGTGATGGCGATAGGGCTAGCCAGGCTAGTGCGCATTTAGCATAAGGCAACGCATGGACAAATGAGCAGGAGCTCTGATGATGATGATAGTGCCACATATGGCGCTGGGCATTTAGACCGCCGCACGTAATTTTTACGCTAGAAATTTGTTGTTTTGAAGTGCTCTTAAGGTACCAGGGTGATAAAATTTGATACGTTATTCTGAAACATTCGTTATTCTGAAATTCGTAGTAGTGAAATATTTTTACATTGAACCAATGGACGTTTGGAAGGGGATTTCCGAAATATTCGTTAATCTGAAAAAATCGTTAATCTGAGGTTCGTTATAACGGGATTTCACTGTATTTTGGATTTTTTAGGCTTTTCTAATTCAGATACGCTTCACTTTCATGGCTTGACAATTTTTTCAGACTGTTAGATTATTTGGACTGCTTTGTGGTCTCTGCCAGGTCTGGAAAATTGGTCAAAAATTGGCGTAACAGATTGTTTTTGAAACGTATGAAAAAATATTGAATGGATATTTAAATAGCCCATTGATTCTAACAGTAATTTAATCACATGACTTGCAGCCCTGATTTTCTCTGTAATGAATTCCCAGCGGTCTTGTTGTTGTTGAAATATTGTGGCTAAAAAAATGTAACTTGTATTGGTATCTGTGGTAAGCATGCCCATGTCTGTCTTGTCCCTTTGGAAAACCTCATAAACGAACCAACCAACAGTAAACACGTTGTGCTGATCATTATAATCATAGTTTCGTAATGGTACACTACAGGAAAATATGGCGATAATGTCTATGGGAGCTGCAACGCATGGCATTTCAGCCAGAATGAGAATGGCGGGTAGTTCACGGATTTGCCCAACCTACATTCTTTTGGCTCCGTGTGGCCTGCAGCTGCGTTGCCAAGACATTTTCAGCAAAAGTTCAGCCATACTACTCCTCCATATTGTGGGGTCCCAAAAGAGAACGCCGCTCTCGGAGCACACGGAGACAGCATACACGGTCGAACGAGACGAAACAACAAACATTTATTTAACTACTTTTACAACGACGACATCGTCAGCCGAATCACACAGGTCACTAGCGGCATGCTACTACAACCTTACACAATATTCCAATACAGTCAATCAACATGAAAACAAACGCAAGGTAATGCAAAGGCCGCGTCGCTAATGTTCGACACACCGGTAGGGCCCCACGAGATGCAACCCGCGGTAAACACACCCCGTGGGACCCTGTCAGGAGGCGACCATCTGCGCCAGCCACAATATGCCAAAAGGCGCCAGTCTTTTCTGTCCGGCCACATAGTCTTGCCTACAGGCGTCACTACTGGCACTACAGCGCTAATCATAATGATGGTGATGGTGAAGATCGCATGCGAGCGCTGTGTCAGCTACCGCTCAGCGGCTGTTAACCCTAAATGTGGCTTATTCACGAAACTACTTAACAGGGGTGATAGCACCACCATAACTTTGACCTTTTTCACTTGAGCAATTCAAATCGACTCATGAAGTTTACAAAGATACTTTTATTCGAAACAAAAGTCAAAACAATAAATAAAGCCACCGCTGCATTCAAAACTGCAAACACAGGGACTAGGCAAATCCACGTGCAATGTACCTATCATTCCCGTGGTGGCTGAAAAATCTCAGTGCAATAGTTCCCTTTATTAAATATTATAGGAAACTCTATGGTTGTGGTGAACACATGATGGGGTGCTGGCAGATTCTGCCAGAGCTGGCCCGCCTGGAGCGCCCTGGTGGAACCGAGCTGTGGCGGCTACACTCTTGGCTGGGCCGGGAAGTGCACTTACTTCTGCACGATAGCCTGGAGCCGTCCGAGCGGCAGAGTTTGGGCCGTGCCCTGAACACGCAGCTGGCACCTCTGTCCACCAATCGTGCAGCCCCTGCTTCTCCGCCTTCCACCGATGACGAAGATGACGGTGGCAGCGTCAGCGACATGACACGACGTTACCGACAGGTGAGCTGTCTTTACCTCCCATTTCTAAATAAATGTTGCTACTATTTATTCAACAATCAATGGGTCAACATTACCCATTTATCTATAGTGATAAGTGTCGTGGGTATAGTTTTGGCTTGAAATGTAGCATAATGGTTCTAAACCTTTGGTGGTGCAATGACTGCGTTTAGGCTAACCAGAGTAAGGAAGTGGTGTGAGAGAGGGGGTTATGGCTCGTTTGTTAACCATATCTTGAAAACCCACAAAAGTATCTGCGAAGTGAAATGGATACAGTTTTATTGGGCATGCATGTCAAAACGACTTCTCTGCTATGATTTGCGGGCGCAGTTCAGAATGAGCATAATCGTGAATGCAAGGGCTTTGGGGACTACAGGATTGCTTTTGCAGATTCGAAAAGACCTGCAAGCATCTATTTGAGAAGCATCTATTTCATTAGTTTTATTATTAGTCATCATACAGTGTAGACTACCTATAATGTAACCACTTATAGTGCAGAACTGGTTACAATGCGATCTTTTTCAACTCCCGTTTACACCCTCCCATAGAAACCCATTTATATGCATACCGCTTATTGTGTAGTCCCCCAAGATGAAAGATCGGTTATAATGGAATTGCTGGAAAATCTTTGGCAAACGCGGTAGAGAATTTGCGTCTGAAAGAATCTGCATTTAGCGCCGCTGGGGAGCGAGCAACCAGGTCGTTACGGAGGGGACGCAATGTCAACAAACAAAGGGTGGAGGGAAGAAGAGAAAAGAAGACCCTGCTACGTTGCGCGAGCTCGCCCACTTTGCATTGACGTCGACGCGGCTGCAGTGTACGCATCGCTAGCGTGGCGCGGGCCGCGCGCGGCTCAGCAGGGCACGTGTCATCCTGTCCTTATCAACTGCGTTTAACAGATTTCTGTTGGGAAAAGCGTCATAATTATCAAGTTTGCTACAGATATCGTGCTTGCTACCTCGTCAGTAAATATTAAACTTTTATGGTTCTATGACGGGAGCTTTTGCCTTTGTTGCCAGTGAGCGGTCTTACATAAGCTTGGCAGGTTTTTGATGTCATTGATCTTCCGACTGTGAGCGTGAACTTCGTATGACGCACGCTGTTCTTGGTTCAGTGCCTTAGTGCGATCTTTTCGATGCAGAATCTTCACCTCTTAGACGGATTTCCCTTGACTACATACTGAACGGCAGGCTAGGCCTAATCAGCATTGGATGTGTTTCAGTAGCGGTTGTGTGCTATCTATAAGTTGTTGTTTGGTAAGGAATCAACGAAACTCTTTGCAGTGGTTGCATTCGGCGGAAAAGTATACATATCATTAATGAAAACAAGGGTGGCACGTGTGGCGCACGAATAGTGGTTCGGAATTTGATTGCAATGTCTTGAAATCAAGTGCTCGCCCGTGAAATCGAATGACTGGCGTCTTTCAGCGCGTGAAATCTCTGACGGGATTTGACATAGTTTCTGTGCAATGCGCATAATGGAGGCGGTCTGAGTAGTAGTTGGTGAATTTTCGTAATTGTGCCTTCTTTTGTTAGACCCCCTCCCCTTCAGTTTTTCAATTTTTATGTTTGTAAGCACCAAGAATCGCATGCTTTAATTTTCGGAAACACAAGGCTGCTTGCTAAACATCTTTTGCGCAAGTGCAGCCCTTGAAAAAGGTTGTTTTGGTTATGGTGCTGCACCGCTTACAGTGCGTATATTCGCGACTCGTGTGACTTGCGTTATAAGCGGTCTATACTGTACTTCACTTTCATTAACACGTAATTATACAGATTTCATCTCGGTATTCTCGTGTGCCAAGCCAGCAAGATGAGCAACATGAGCATTAATACCCTATTTACTTGAATCTAGGCTGGCCCCAATTCTAAGCCGGCCCCCAAAACTTGTAGTGTACGCCCCGCCGCGGTGGTCTAGTGGCTAAGGTACTCGGCTGCTGACCCACAGGGCGCGGGTTCGAATCCCGGCTGCGGCGGCTGCATTTCCGATGGAGGTGGAAATGTTGTAGGCCCGTGTGCTCAGATTTGGGTGCACGTTAAAGAACCCCAGGTGGTCTAAATTTCCGGAGCCCTCCACTACCGCGTCTCTCATAATCATATAGTGGTTTTGGGACGTTAAACCCCACATATCAATCAATCAACTTGTAGTGTACACGCATCCCGAAGGAGTGCGGCCACTAGCGTGGGTCCGGTCTTAGCGAGCCGTAGGGCACGCGTTAACCGTCGCCATGGCGAGAACGCGATACTGCTCAAAGTCCCAACACTTTATTGTCTGTGTCAACACCAAACGCAGTACAGCCCGTTGCAAATCTGCGGCGGGAAAGCAAATAGGCTTATTTACGCCACGGGCATAAAAGTACTATACAGGGTGCCACGAGCACGTCTCCGTGGTAAAGGTGATCCACGGAGACACCGGGACCAAGGCCCGGTTGCTCGAGCGAAGGCAAAGGCACTCGCGTTGGCTTCGGAGGGAGACGGGTCTGCGTAGCTAGTCCGAGCGTACGCAGTGGGGCAACAAAAGGTGAGCGTTCGCCTCGGGTGCGAGGCGCCGTCAGCGAAGTCCGACGAGCCCCCGAGCGACGGGAGTCGACGGACGGAAAAGATTGCGTGGCTCACCGTCTGCTGTCCCGGAGAGTATCTGCCCGCTCCCGACGCAGCGCGCGAAAACCTCTCGGGAGACTCCGCGCGCGGCGCCACAGTCAACATATGCTACGTGGTGGTCTAGTGGCTAAGGTACTCGGCTGCTGACCCGCAAGTCGCGGGATCGAATCCCGACTGCGGCGGCTGCATTTCCGATGGAGGCGGAAATGTTGTAGGCCCGTGTGCTCGGATTTGGGTGCACGTTAAAGAACCCCAGGTGGTCAAAATTTCCGGAGCCCTCCACTACGGCGTCTCTCATAATCATATGGTGGTTTTGGTACGTCAAATTCACATATCAATCAACATACGCTACTGGGTGAGGGGAGACATGTCGGGACATGAGAACGGCAGAAAAGGCGACAAAGCCTGCGCAAAGGCAGCGGGCTAGCCTCAATTCTCACAAACTCCAAAGCCCGGGAGGAGTAAAGCTTGTAGGCTGATCGAAAAAGAAGACAGCATTCACAGAGAGAAAACATTTATTGAACATGAAGATGAAACAAAGCAGTTGGTTTATGATGCAGATAACTCGAGAAACATGGTCGTCTGCAATCTTAATTTTTGTTCTCCTTAAAACAAAGTTAGTGTTTGCTTCAGCTAGCTGCTGAACAGTGGGAGAATTTGAATAGTATGCCATGGACAGCATATAGCATCTGTTTTGTGCCATGTCCTATCCCCACGTTGCTTTTTATTTTCCCCACTTGTTTCCATTTTGTTGCTTAATTACAAGCATTCCAACAGAGCAAACTTTTTGCCTTCTGGCAAATGTAGGCTTGCTGCCTTGCTGCGAGTTTTTTGTGTATTTGCTGCGCATTTCCTGCGCAGTGAACTCGCAAAAGTTGAGCGAATAGCCGCAGCTCATGTGCAAATCTAGCAAGATGAGCAACATGAACATTAATACCTTAATTTCATTATTTGATTTACAGTTAGCTGTGCTGATGTTAACGATGCCATCTTATTGCATTGCCTGCATCTTGTGTGTATACAGCCATCGAGCCGTTGGAGGAATAGAACATTAAAGCGGCACCTGCAGTGTGTGCTGCGTTCTCTGTGTGCCTTGTTGGAAACAGACTCAGCCGATGCGGAACCTTCCCACTGCCAGTGCTCTCAAGGAACGACGGGAAGATGCGAGACTGCTTTTCTCAGAGATTGGTGAGTTTGTGTGAAGCCCATGTTTTGTGTTGCCGAGTGTCGATATGTATATATAAAGTCGTGCGTTTTCTCGCCTGCACACTCTCTGCAGCAAAGCCCCGCCTGTGGAGGAGGAGGAAGAAGAGGACGAAGTGTTTTTCACCCCTCCTACCAGCCCTTGCTCCTCGAGTGGATCGTCCTCCGAGGCACACACCCCAGACGAGGGTCCACTCTTCTTTATACAAGGGTGAGCAGGCCTTGCATATTGCCAAGTTAAGAGTTTACTAGAGGTGCATCTGTCTGCATTACTTTGTCCTCGGCATTCAAACCGTCAGGTAGATCTAGAGGGCAGGACATGTCCTGACCAGATGACCGAAGTGTGCCAGCAGAGTGCTTTCCTGACTAAAGAAATAGTTCTCCCCGTGTACTCCGCAATGTCATGCATAGGTATGTTAATCGACTGTCTGGTGTATGACACCAGTCTAGAGTGCAAGACCATTGGTGCAAGCTCGTGTACATCTGCAGTAGAAGCGAAAGTGGTGCTGCCTTATTTTTACTCAACTATGTATAATGCTGGTTGCTTTTTGGCATAGCTTTCTCATTAATTCATCCATTCATGCTGGTAAGCTTTCAGCGCTACTGTGATGTACTGTTCTACAGTGCAGTCCACTTATAACGATACCACATATAACGATATATCGGTTATAACGATGGGTCGACTTAGCAGTCTCATTTTATGCATTGGGGCTATGGGGAAAAAAACCATATATAACGATATGTTATCCACCGCATATCGGATACAACGATGAAAAGTTTGCCATGGACGGCATGTTTCATTCAGAATAATCGTAACATTTAGATTGATAAATTCCTCTGAAACGAACTATGCCGAGACAAGACGAAAAGTTAGCGTAGGCGAGTACGTATTTGCCGCCACTGCAGCACAGCGCCGGCAGCGCGTCCCGGCCGTTCAGAAAGCCGAGGATAGCATCGCGAGTTGGCGCGACGCGCTACAGATGGCGCCAGCTGTGTCACGTTTTGCGCCTCGCCGCGCGTCGACCGCGGAGAGGCTGAGAGAATTTAAAAAAAAAAAATGCAAAAAGCAAAGCGCCGCGCTCCGCGGCTCCCCGCCTTCTACAACGGCAAGCCGGCAAGCTACTCGTAGCTTGCCGAACGAAAGCGGGAAAGAGAGAGAAAATAAAAAAAGCGAAAAGCAAAGCGGCGCGGCGGCATCGGGGCGGGGCCTCGTTGGCATTCCGGCTGTGTACCTCTGGCTGTGCTTTCTTCCTCCCACTGCTCCCACCCCGCCGTCGGTCAGTCTCTCTTCCTCAGCGAACCCGTGATGCGTTCTTCGGAGTAAGAAATAAAGTCCTGTTTTTGACATCCTACTATCTACAATATTTATTAATTGGTGAAAATAGCGAAATGAAGCCTGGAGCTACAAAAGGTACGTCCGGCGACGATTTTTTGGCGGCAGTCCAGATATAACGATCACCGGTTATAACGATCATATTTTTAGGTTTTCTCGATATCGTTATAAGTGGACTGCACTGTATATGAATATTGATCGCCATACTTAGTTGAAACTTTTTTGTGGTCTCCATCAAAGTGCAACTGTGACAGAACAACTTTCACACAAGTTCATGCTGTTTCCAAGTGTGCGTCACTCTCTCCTGTTACACTTCTACCAAAACAGACTAATAGGGCACGTCAAAGCATAACCTCCTTCATAAGCAGCACATTATAGGCTTCCTGTGTTAGGGGTCTTCATTTGTCATAAGGTTAGAATGGCATTTGTAGTTTACTAGCAACAGCTCAAGAGCTCTCTTAAAAAATAGTGCTGCAACATATTGCTGCGTACGAGTGGCGTAGCGATCCACACGACGAAGAGGAGGACGACAGCGGACAGACTGGGGCAAGCTAATCTGTGTGGCTGGCGCTGCTCGCTTAACCGGTTGTAAATATATGCGTCTACTCTTCCGAGTTGGTTTCCTTCTTGTAACATATTTGGTGGAGTTGTGCGATCCTCATCCTCGCCACGGAACTTCGAAGTGGACGATCGCTCTTGGCTTTCAACATGGCCATTCAAGACTAAACTACATCTTCTCCAGTTGCCCGCCCTCCTGCCTGGTCTGCCAACCCAGCGGTCGCAACAACTTTCGTGACGCTTCCCACCCTCGAAGACTCTGGCGTGTTCTCGGGCCGTGAGGGTTCCGACGTCGACCAATGGTTACGCCTCTATGAAAGCGTCAGCGCCACTTACCGGTGGGATCCCACATTTACGCTCGCGAACGTCATCTTTTATTTCGACGGAACCCATCGTGTCTGGTTCGACAACCACGAGCATGACATAACGAGTTGGGACAGCTTCAAGGAAAAGATTCGTGAGCTTTTTGGGAACCCCTTCAGGCTGTCCTCGCACTATGCCGCCAAGCTGACGAAAACATGTATGATGTGTCTTTTGTTGATGCCATAATTCAAGAATGCCGCCGGCTCGAATATGCTAAAAACAAGTGAATCTCTTATCAGATCCAGCGCCTTCCGAATACAGCAGCAACGTCATCGTGCCTTCAGTCATATTGTTCATCCGACACCTGTGACAGCTTAACTCAACTCGTCAGGTGTGAACTTGAAGCGGCCGCCCCTGCTACAGTGCCGGCCCTTCAGTTCCCTCCGGTCCTTCAATTTCCTTGTCCCTTATTCAAGCCGTTGTACAGTGACACCTCGTTAAACCGTAGTTGGCCAGAGCTCGGAAAAAGTACGTACTAAACGGTAGTACTGCTTAATCGAAGTAGCGTCAGGTCGCTCACTTACCTGTCAAAAAAAGAAACCTTCAGGGAGTGGGATGAAAAAACAAAAAACGTGCAGTAATTTATTAACTTCGCGTGACAGTCTGTAATCTTCATCTGACGACGCGGCGGCCTAGCAGCAACGACAGCGGCCTCAAACTCACTTATGCTGTGAGCCAGCTTTTCCGCCAGCCCCCTCTTCTCGTCAAATACCCGCATGACACTGACGCAATGTGCAGCTTCGGCCACTGTCAGACCTGTATCACCCGTGTTGTCGCTTTCCATGTCGTCCTCATCACTATCATTTGGCGACACTTCGACAACCGAGGCAACAATTGCTTCGTCGGACATGTCCGGAGATGTCTGCACATCGCTGTCTGCGTCTCTGAAGTCGGGGAAGGAAATGCCTTCCCAAACGCCCTGCTGCTCCAGCACTTCAGCTGGCAGAGTTTTGCAAGCTTCGTCTACGATGTCCGAAGTGTGGTCGATGGTGTCACTGGCGTCATGTGCGTCGCCCGCACACACACTGAAGCCAGCACGCTTGAAGCAATTTTAAACTGTCGTTGCTTCAACCTGCCGCCACTTGTATACGAGCAGGTGAATCGCGCCAATCAGGTCGATGGAGAATAATTTGTCACATTCAATGGGGAGAAGAAATCTGCGCAGCAGATTCTTCTTGTAGAGCTTTTTTAAAGCTCGAATAATGCCTTGGTCCAAGAGCTGGGCAATCGCTGTAGTGTTTGGTGGCAGAAACGCCAACTTCACAGTCGTCAGGTTGTCCAGGGCAACGTGCGCCGAAGCGTTGTCTAAAATAATAACAACTCTTCTGTTCTTAGGCGCAAAACGACGATCGATGAGGTGCACGTACTCCTCAAAGAGTTTTGCCGTCATCCATGCTTTGATGTTGCCGCGATAGATGACCCCTGATGGCAACCGGGCGCCTTTGAAACATTTAGGCTTCGCCGACTTTCCAATCACGAGGAGCAGAATTTTGTCAGTTCCAGTCATGTTTATGCAAAACGCCACTGATATTCTGTCTTTTGCATGCTTGCCGCTGGTGCACGTCTCGCCTTTGAACATGAGCGTTTTGTCTGGTAGCAGCTTAAAGAATAGCGCCGATTCATCCATATTAAAGATGTCATCAGGTGCGTAGTCTTCCAAGATGTTCTTCAGCTGACCATTTTGCCACTGCTCCGCGCCATCTACGTCAGCAGCAGCACCTTTTCCCGAAACAGTCCTCGTGGTAATGCCGTGCCTCGCCTTAAATCTGGCCAGCCAGCCATTGCTGCACACGAAGTTGTCATGGTTGAGCTGCGAGGCAAAAACCAGGGCCTTCTCCACGAGCAGGGGTCCGCTGATAGGCAGATTTTTGACCGTGCAGCTTTTAGCCACTTCACCAGCGCCTCCTCTACATCCGAAAACGCCGAACCGCGTAGCCGGCACCTTTTCGCAGTAGCAGCAGCACTGCCGAGCAACTTCTCTCTGAAATTCCAAATTCCACACACTGTGGTTAACCGCAGGTCCTTTTCGCGTGCCAGCGCCGATTTTTTTGTGCCACTTTCAATAGCATGACTCGTTGAGGTTGGGGGGAGCGCCTTGGACCTGTCCAACATGTGCAGGAAACCAGATCAGTACGTGGTGCTTGATGCCGTCGCGGCCATCACTCTGGAGCACGCGCAGGGCTTTCTTGGAGATTACACCGCGCTCGAAGGCGCGAATAGCTGACCTAGAGTCACTATAGATGACCTCCCTTTCACCTTCGAGGATGGCCAGGGCGATGGCCACTTGCTCGGCAATCGTCGGATCGTCAGTGTGAACCGATGCGCAGTTGGTGGGTTAGCGCGCGCACGGCCTCGTGCGCGCGCTAACCGACCGCACCGGTTCCGGGCAACGATTCGGGGCCAACGGGGTTGCGGAAAACAGGGACGCGCCTGCCACGTACAACGAAATAAAACATTTTTACCTCGCGCGGAGACTATATCCACTCCCTCATAAAAATCTTAATAGGCCTCAGGCCCTTACGCTCAGACTACTGCAGACCTGAAATCCCTTCACGCTATTTATCCTGAGGTGTTCCCCAATGACGCTTGCCCCGCATGTGGGGATGTATCCACGCTGGCGCACATGCTCTGGGAGTGCAAGGCAATGTACACTAACCCCAATACTACATCGGTCAGGTGGGAGGCGGCCCTACGCAGCTCCCTCTTGGCCGACCAACTTTGGACCTTCCAGCAGGCCCGCAGAGCGGCCGATAGGCTTGGCCTAACGGTCCCGACATGGGAGTCGCCCACTGTGCACTGACGCGCCCCTTGCAGGACCTCAATAAAGTTTCGCAACCAACCAACCAACTTTCAATAGCATGAATTATGTCCAATTTCTCCTCTGTTCAGCACTCAATGCTTTCGTCCCAGCTTCGGCATGACGCAAGTATGAAGCAGCACAAGCACACATACACAAC